GGTCCGTAACACTGGTATCCTCGCCGAAATGCACGCTTTTCATTGAAAGAATCAGCTGGTAATAGTCGTTGTCAACGGCGTTATTACCGGCGTTATACACGGCATTGGAAAATGGCACCCTCACCCGCATAAATTTTAAATCAAATTTTTTCAATACCGGGACCGAGAAATCTATCAAATGAGATCATCTCGAAAGTACATATGTAGGGCAGAGATAAACAAGGCCTAGATCTCCATTCTATTCACCCCCGCGTGCTATTATCCCACTAGAACAACATACATGCAGCCGAGTTGTACACCTAGGGACTTTAAAACACACTAGACCCGTGTGAAAAAGTAAAGATATGCGGTTTTCTTCATCGCTTCGACATCTTCAAATTTGACAACTTTTTCATCATTGAACATTACCCATGAAAGGCCGCTTTGATCTGCCAATGTTTTGCGAATCACGGCAACATAATGCCTAGCATATGTTAGTTCAAGTCAAGGAAATGAGAACGGAGACATGCCAAGCCACTCACCCTGCATGAACAGATGTGCCTTTGTGGCATACGATTGACCTTAATTCATAGCGAGCAGGTAAGCTAGTGAGCCCAACTGAGCCATTATGAGACTGTGCGTCGTGGTCGTCGGCATTTGGCTCTTCCTCTTCCACCACATCATCCGGGTGAGTGAAAACCCAATCAAGTGCCCTATTAACGTCGCCGTCCGTCGCAGCCAATGCTCGCTGTGCACGAGACGCCTCAATACCCATGTCTCCTAGTTGGGCAATTTTTGTCGCATCTTGTCCAGTAGAACTAGAGGTGCTGATTCTATCAAGGACCAATGGTTCATCGATTTCTGGATCTTCCATGTGGGCAAACAGCCAATTCATAGCAGTTTCCGAATCCAAGTTACCAGTGGCATGTAGAGCTTTTTCACACCTCACAGCAGGGAACCCCATGCCCATCAGTTGGTCAAGTGCTTCCGGATTCGGGACAAACGCCGTAGATTCTTCAATATCGGGAAGTTGCTCTTCACCCGCATCATGCTTACCAGCAAGGTAAGAGCTGAAATCTAATGGCTTGTCGTTGACCAGCACGGGGATATCCAACTTTGTAGGAACCCAGTTGACGAGCTCAAACCGACGAGCATTGACCACTAATTCCCGAGGCAATGTTTTGAAAGACGACTGCTTCGAAAAGCCACCCTGGCTACCACAAGCAGGACATGTAAGCTCGACGACCTCCGCCGAAGTAAAGATGTCTAGGCACTCCAACAAATCCACAGATTCAAATCGCTTTCCTGTTTCATCAGAGGTGGTAGCAGGACGTGCGGGAACAGCAACCGAAATGTTATCTTGCTCATCCACTTTATAGCGGACTTTCTTGCAATGCAAACACTGAAGACGCTGCTCAACCTGGAAGCGAAATTCCTGCACTGGGTTAATCTGCGGACTGGTGTGTTTCGATAGGCTGACCGACTTGAATAGATGAAGGAGGAATTCAAATGCATCCTGCTGTCTCATGGTTGCAAACTCCTCATGACCTTGTCCGATAAGATACTTGAACATTGCTGGTGCTAAGCCTTTTTGATGAGCAACTTCTGGAATTTCTGCGGATAACGTTATGCGAGAATCAGGTTGAGAGTATCGGCCTGAGAGTAAACCGTCGGCAAGCTTCCGCAATTGTGTCTCAAGGTCCTGTGCTGGTGCTTGACAGAGTGGTGGTTCTTCCGACAGCTGATAATATCGCTCACGAAATCCAGCCACAGAAAAAATGCATTGCATTATACTGGAGAGATAGCAGCTGTTTCCAAGATTCACTAGGCCTGTAAATGCAGGCCCAAAGACTGGAGCCAGCTCCCGGCCGTCCTCGGTCGTCATGGAAAATTCCCATTTCAGATTGTGCTCGACCTGCATCTCCATCAGACTCTTCTCTGTCTTCTCACGTCCAGCCAAGTAGATTCCCCAGTGCGCAAGGTGGGTCGCCAGTTCTGGGTCTACTCTTTCTTCGTTGCACTTGTAACAGTAGACATCAGCGGAGCCTTCTGCCGTGATGGAGCCGAGCTTCACAGCCACAGAATGTGATGTTGAGTCTGCGTGAGTAAGTCCATGTGAGTTTCCCTTGCTTCCACCGAATTGACTTCGCCCGCAACCCTTGTTCCCACATTCCAGACACAGCCACAAGTTCTCGCCCAAATCACAATCTGAGCAATGGTTTAAATCTGCAATTTCGTCAGCACTGGCCCCAATTGAGTATTGCTGGGAATTAATACCCGTCGACGCGGCTTGCTTGTTGTCCTGTTGAACCAGACAAAGTGTATGCTCACAAGGAACAAACTCTTGCTCCCAGGCTTTGACCTCTTCCTTTTTTGAGAAAGTCATTGCGGTCATAACACCTTCAATGACAGCAGGAAGCTTGCCACTGGCTTTATCCACGTTATTCCGAGAGCATGAATAGCACACCACTGACGTGGCAATGTCATATCTATCCTCTTCTGTTTCGGCTGCGATGGAAAGCTTTGAAATCTTCGGCGGGGGCTCGTCGCGCTATGAATCAGAGGTGTGAGTATCATTGGTCACAAGCTCAGCAAGTGTTTGGAGGCTGTACCTGCACTTGCTTTGGGGTCCTTCGGATGTTCAAAGCCAATGAATGGCCAAATCTCTTGTAGTGAAGCAGGGCATGGTCTCTATTTCCAGCACATCCACCATTGAAGCAATGGAGACAGACATTTAGACCGGCATCATTGTCCTTGCAAGGTCAGAGTCAATCGAGCAGCATAGGGACCAAGGTGGCTGGCATACAATAGAATCAAAGCACTGAGTGCAATCTTCTCGATAAACTGCCTGAGATGACCCTGGTGGATTCAGATCTATGAAGTAGTGTTCTCCATTAGCTCGATTTGTCCTCTGAAAATCCAGGTGATGTCACAAACCCGCAGCACCAGCATGGACACAAGAGGCCATATTCAGAGAGAAAATCTCGGGCATTCACGAAGTGCCAACAAATTTTTTTTGGCTTTTGACAGAGACCTCACAAGACGTGACAGTATCCCATTGAAAGCAAATATGATAAAAGATAGATTGTCAGATACCGCCGATCAAGCCAAAGAGCTACGATGCGTGGGGTTGCTCCTCACCGCCTGCACGTGCTGTTATCAATGAGGCATCAAGTCATGTGGTGGGGGCGGCTCGTGCCACTTAACGCGTTATTTTTCTCAACACGCGTTCTAACCTTGTTCTACCACTTTGCAACTTGATCTGGATTTGCTTTGTCAAATTCAGTAGTCTTTTGCTTCTCTACTTCTACTTCTTCTTCTGCTTCCTCTTCTTGTTTTCTCTGATCCATCCCTTAATTCCATTATTTTCAGTCTTTTCCCAATTCTTCTTCCTCGACAGTGTCAATCACTGAAACTTGAACTCATCATATCATGGCTTCCGAGGCTGCATCTCAAGTCACCATTGGAGCTCTAAGGTTTGTGTCTATTTTGAGGCAAAGATTCTGTGTGGCAAAATTTATGTTAATCGCGTGTTTAACAGTGCCATTTTTGATGAAACCAAACCCCAAGTACGAGAGCCGATTGTTCAATGCGTTCAGATCAAGGCATTGCCAGCTCAGCCGAACCAACCAGAACGTTATCGAGCTGTTTTCAGTGATATTGCAAACTATGTTCAAACCATGCTTGCTACTCGTACGTGTTGTTTTCGATACTCTTTGTGCTAACTGGGCTTACTGACTGCTTCAAGAAGCCAACTCCGTGGTGACGGATGGATCTCTCCGGAAAGGTTCTTTCGTGCGACTTAAGTCATTTCAATCAAACTCTGTCAAGGGGAAGAAGTATGCGAGGGAATTCAATTGATTGAGATTGTGCTAACTATCATAGAATCCTCATCATCTTAAACCTTGAAGTATTAAAAGAACTGGGCGAGGCTGAAAAAATTGGTGAACCCAAACCACTTGAAGTCAAAGCCGAGGAAGAGGAAGTAGGTCAACCGACAACAATATCCAGCAATGGGTTTTACGGCTCCAAGACAGGGGGGGCACAGGCTCAGCCAAACAGCCGAGCCCAGCCAATGTCTGCCTCCATGTCCACTTCCTCCGCCCATGCCACAATCTACCCGATTGAAGCAATCTCCCCGTATTCCAACAAATGGACGATAAAAGCGCGATGCACAAGCAAATCCAGCATCAAAACATGGCATAACAAAAATGGTGAGGGTAAACTGTTCAGTGTGAATCTGCTGGACGACAGTGGTGAAATTCGTGGAACCGGTTTCAATGATCAGTGTGACATGCTCTATGAACTCTTCCAAGAGGGCAGTGTTTATTACATTTCGAGTCCCTGTCGGGTCCAAATTGCCAAGAAACAGTTCACAAATCTTAACAACGATTATGAACTTACCTTTGAGAGAGATACCATTGTTGAGAAGGTAACTTCCCATTTTTTTTTATTAAACTAAATGCGTCGCTCACATTTTTATAATAGGCCGAGGAGCAAAATGATGTCCCTCAGATTCGATTCAACTTCACCACCGTTGCTGATTTGCAGACTGTTGAAAAAGACACGACCACTGATGTCATTGGCGTGCTGAAGGATGTTGGAGAGACATCCCAGATTACATCAAAAAGCACTGGCAAACCATATGACAAACGTGAGCTTACGCTGGTCGATAACACGGGATTTTCTGTCCGCTTGACAATCTGGGGTGCATCTGCGAACAATTTTAGTGTGGCGCCAGAGTCTGTTGTTGCTTTCAAGGGAGTCAAGGTTTCTGACTTTGGCGGAAGAAGTCTGAGTCTTTTGAGTTCGGGCTCAATGACTGTTGACCCTGACATCGGGGAGGCTCACCGACTCAGAGGTTGGTATGACGCTCAAGGAAGGTCGGAGAACTTCACATCTCATGCTTCATTGTCCAATGCGACAAACTCCACGGGCAAAACAGATCGGTTTAAAACCGTTGCGCAAGTTCGCGAAGAGCAGCTTGGCATGTCTGAAACTCCTGATTACTTCTCCCTGAAAGCCACTGTAATCTACATCAAGCAAGATTCCACCTGGTGCTACCCCGCCTGCCTTTCTGAGAATTGCAACAAGAAGGTAACGGAACTTGATCCAGGACAGTGGCGGTGCGAAATGTGTGACAAGACCCACCTTAAGCCAGAGTACCGCTTCATCATGCCCATTAGTGTCAGCGACCATACTGGTCAGCTTTGGCTCAGCTGTTTTGACGACACTGGAAGAAACATCATGGGCATGTCTGCCGATGAACTGATGCAACTTCGCGAAGACGATCCGAGTGCTTTTGGTGAAGTTTTCCAAGGAGCCAATTGCCAGACCTGGAGCTTCAGGTGCCGAGCCAAGATAGACAACTTCGGCGACCAGCAGCGGTAAGAATCATGCAGTGGCTATTATTTCAATGATGTTCATATCATACTAATTATCTAATCTAGTGTGAGATATCAGGTCTCGTCCTCCCAGGCAATCAATTACTCGGATGAAGCCTCTCGCCTTGCCGATATCATTGACTCCTACAGCATCGAGTAAGTTCAGGCAAAGTGAAGAAAAGCTTTTTTTTCAGCCTTGTACTAGCTATACTACTTCTACATGCAATTGGAGCTTTTCAATTTTCATGTACACCTTAGTCGAGCTGTGCCATGATCATCTCATTTGCGGTTTGTTACCTTGGCAGTCATTTCTCTCTCGCCTATTCAGTACTTTAAAAAGCACAACCAAATCTTTTTCTTTATCGTCCTCTCGTTAATGAAATATTTGCAATCGGGGCATCACTCCAGGAGTTCTAGAATGTGAATTATGTATACACAGGTTGTTCTCCGTACTTATGTACCCAGGTAGTTAGAGTTGCAAGGCGGTAAGCAAAAAATGCGGAAACCAATGGCAATACACTGAGCTTTTTTCTTTTTTTTTCATCCGGTTTTTCTGTTGGAACAATCCAGGCAGAGAATTCACTCTCGTGCTTCTTTTCATCTTTGATTCCAATTATATTTTCTTATATCCTACTTTTAGAATACTCGTCATGGGTAAGCGAAGCCATCTCGAGCCAACGGAGCAGCGACCGAAGAAAAAGTCCAAGTCCGAGAAGCCCACAAAAGCTTCCAAAGACAAGCAGGAAAACGGAGATGAGAAGACTACATCCTATTCTGACGCGGCCGCTCTTTCTGAGATCCCCCAGTCAGACATTGACAGTTTCTTGACTAAGAACGTGATAAAAATATCTGATTCCTCCTCACCCGACGCCTCCCAATTCCGCCCAATCCTTTCGTTTGATCACCTGCCTGAATGTGACGCGGGTCTGTATACTCAATTGAGGTCTTTCTCCGCACCAACGCCGATTCAGTCCTCTACCTGGCCGCTTCTTTTTGCTGGACGTGATGTGATTGGTATTGCAGAGACTGGAAGTGGCAAGACCCTGGGTTTTGGCTTGCCTTGTCTGAAGAAATTGATTGACTCCAAGTCAAGCAAACCTTGTCAACCCAAGGCAGTGATTATTTCACCAACGCGAGAGCTTGCAATGCAGATTTATGACCAGCTTGTTAAATTCGGCGACACTGAAAA